ATATATATAGAGAGAGAGAGAGAGAGAGAGAGACAGAGACAGAGATATTTCATTGCATTTTAGGTTCTGGGGTACATGTAAAGAACATGCAGTATTGTTGCATAGGTACATATTTGGCAATGTGGTTTGCTGCCTCCATCCCCATCACCTATATCTGGCATTTCTCCCCATGTTATCCCTTCCCAACCTCCCTACCCCCCACTGTCCCTCCCCTAGCACCCCCCCCGACAGACCCCAGTGTGTGATGCTCCCCTCCCTGTGTCCATGTGTTCTCATTGTTCAACACCGGCCTATGAGTGAGAACATGCCGTGTTTGATTTTCTGTTCTTGTGTCAGTTTGCTGAGAATGATGGTTTCCAGGTTCATCCACGTCCCTACAAAGAACATGAACTCATCGTTTTTTATGGCTGCATAGTATTCCATGGTGTATATGTGCCACATTTTCCCTGTCCAGTCTATCATTAATGGGCATTTAGGTTGGTTCCAAGTCTTTGCTATTGTAAACAGTGCTGCAATGAACATTCGTGTGCATGTGTCCTTAAAATAGATGATTTATAATCCTTTGGATATATACCCAGTAATGGGATTGCTGGGTCAAATGGAATTTCTATTTCTAGGTCCTTGAGGAATCGCCACACTGTCTTCCACAATGGGTGAACTAATTTATACTCCCACCAGCAGTGTAAAAGCATTCCTATTTCTCCACATCCTCTCCAGCATCTGTTGTCTCCAGATTTTTTAATGATCACCATTCTAATGGTGTGAGATGATATCTCAATGTAGTTTTGATTTGCATTTCTCTAATGACCAGTGATGATGAGCATTTTTTCATATGTTTGTTGGCCTCATATATGTCTTGTTTTGAAAAGTGTCTGTTCATATCCTTTGTCCACTTTTGAATGAGTTTGTTTTTTTCTTGTAAATCTGTTTAGTTCTTTGTAGATTTTGGATATCAACCCTTTGTCAGATGGGTAGATTGCAAAAATGTTTTCACATTCTGTTGGTTGCTGATTCCCTCTAATCATTGTTTCTTTTGCTGTGCAGAAGCTCTGGAGTTTAATTAGATCCCATTTATCTATTCTTGCTTTTGTTGCCAATGCTTCTGGTGTTTTAGTCATGAAGTCCTTGCCTATGCCTATGTCCTAGATTTTCTTCTAGGGTTTTTATGGTGTTAGGTCTTATGTTTAAGTCTTTAATCCATCTGGAGCTGGGCAAAATTGTCAAAAAAAAATGCAATATCCTAGTAATTGATCAAAAAAAAGCACAGTAAAATAAGAAATGATTATTTATAAAAACTACTGAACTACATGTAAGAATAATTCAAGTCTATGGCATCCTTGCCAGAGGCTAACAATTCCCTAATCACATGCTCTGTCAATTTGATAGCTCAATGAGGCCAGGGAAAGCCATGAAACCAGCAGCTTTGCTGTCACCATCAAAGGGACTCATATGATTTGGAGAATTTTCAAACAGGGATATTGCTGCAAACAAACAGGAAGGACCAGTAGCTCTGCTTGTCTCATCAGAGACCAGAACCTGCCCAAACCACCCGATATCCCTGACTGACGATGGTGCCTGAGTGCATGTGAAGAGAAGTCACAGTGAGAAGAGATGCCTGGTGGAAAGCAGATGGCTTGGGCTCTGTGCACACGCCCTAGTCCACCCGTAGATCCATCAGCAAACAATGGAAGCCTCATCGACTCAAGGCTCAAGGTGTTAGTGTACAAATTCAGGCAACTGTTTGTTGCCTGCCATGCAGGCAGATAAAGGAGTGACTCCTGGGAAGCAGTGCATAAGAACAGAAACAAACAAAAACTGAGCAGAGACGGCCGTGGCTACACACTGCTGACAGAATTTACAAATTTAGTCCAGGCAGGTTATATACAAACAAACAAGACAGTAACAGCAAACTTCAGGAGAAAAGAATCAGAATCCTGAGTTGAACAGTCTATGACCTAAAGTATCCAGTGTTCAACAATAAGTTACAAGACAAAAGAAACAAGAAAGTGTGGGGGAAACCAGTTAATAGAAACTGCCTTTAGGTGTCCCTGGATGTCACTGTTAGCGAACAAAGACTTCAAAGCAGATACTGAATGTTAAAGGAACAAAAACAAGTAGAAAAAATTAAAAGAAAGTATAGTGATAGGCTGGGTGCAGTGGCTCACGCCTATAATCCCAGCACTTTGTGAGGCCGAGGTGGGTGGATTGCAAATTCAGGAGATCCAGATCATCCTGGCCAACATGGTGAAACTACCCCCTGCCCCCGCCATCTCTACGAAAATACAAATAACTAGTTGGGTTTGGTGGCCGGTGCCTGTAGTCCCAGCTACTCAGGAGGCTGAGGCATTGCTTGAACCCAGGAGGCGGAGGTTGCAGTGAGCTGAGATCATGCCACTGCACTCCAGCCTGGAGACAGAACAAGACTCCGTCTCAAAAAAAAAAAAAAAAAAAGAAAGTGCAATAATGACTCAACTAAGAAACCCCACAAAAGACTTAAGACATTATTTTTTGTCAGCACTGTCCTGGATTATAGAAAATAAAATAAAACATTTTTAAAGACCCAAGTAGATGTAATGGACCACTGCGATAAAGAAAACAGAAAAAGACCTGAGTAAAAATTTTGAAATTGCAAAATGCAATGACTGAAATGAAAAATTCATTGAGAGGTTTAACAGAAAATGAGAGATGGAAGAAAAAATTTCCTCAGTAAACGTGAAGGCAGATGAATAGCAATGATGCAGTCTGAAGAACAAAGAGAAAAGTAATTGAAGAAAAATGACCTACAAAACCTCAAGCACAACATATGTGGAATGAGGGTCTCAGAAAGAAAGAAAAGGGGAAAGAAAAAATTATTTGTAGAAATAGTGGCTGGAAACTTACCAAATTTGATATAAAATAGTCTATCGAATGATTGTTTACTATCAGTAAAACAAAAACCAACATATCCACTCCTGCACATATTGTGTCAAACTGTGAAAAAGCAAAGAGTAAATATGAAAAGCAGTAAGAGAAAAACTTCTCTTCAGGTACAAGAGCACCATGATAAAATTAACCATTGATTTCTGATCAGAAACAATGGTGGGAAGGCAATGAGATGGCATAGTCAAAGAATGAAAGAAAAATATTGTCAACTAAAAATGCCATGTCTAGCAAATCTATCCTTTAAAAATTAAGATAGTCCCAGATAAACAGATAGAAAATTTGCTGCCAGCACTCCTACCTTATAAGAAATACTAAAAGAAAGCTTTTAAACAGAAAGATTTGATTTTTAGATTTAAAAAAACTAGATTGATTTGTCACAGGGTATGTGTCTGTGTTTGTGTGCATGTACTGAATTTTCCAAAATTTCTTATATACTTTAATTGATTTTAGAAGTAAAAATATAGCAAATATTTAAAAATCCTTATACAGCATAGACTAGTATACAGCCATCAAAAACGATGAGTTCGTGTCCTTTGTAGGGACATGGATGAACCTGGAAACCATCATTCTCAGCAAACTGACTCAAGAACAGAAAATCAAACACTGCATGTTCTCGCTCATAGGTGGGTGTTGAACAATGAGAACACATGGACACAGGGAGAGAACATCACACACTGGGGTCTGTCAGGAGGAAATAGGGGAGGGACAGTGGGAGGTGGGAAGTTGGGGGAGAGATAGCATGGGGAGAAATGCCAGATATAGGTGATGGGACAGAAGGCAGCAAATCACACTGCCACGTGTGTAGCTATGCAACAATCTTGCATGTTCTTCACATGTACCCCAAAACCTAAAATGCAATTAAAAAAAATCCTTTGAAGGATTTTTAAATTTTTATTTCAATTTTTATAAAATGACTTATTTAGTCCTATACATTTTAATAATAAAAATTGAGTTAATTTTTATTGTCTCTCTAGCTGAAGATAGTAAAGATTAATTAAAACAAAAATTATAAAAATTTTATTCAAAATTCACAATAATAAATAAGTATAAAAAATATAAGCTTGGCCGGGCGCAGTGGCTCACACCTATAATCCTAGCACTTTGGGAGGTTTAGGTGGGCAGATCACGTGAGGTCAGGAGTTTGAGACCAGCCTGGCCAACACGACGAAGCCCCAACTCTACAAAAATTAACCGGGCATGGTGGTGCATGCCTGTAGTCCTAGCTGCTCGGGAGGCTGAGGCAGGAGAACTGCTTGAACCCAAGAGGGTGGAGATCACAGTAAGCCAAGATCGCACCATTACACTCCAGCCTGGGCAACAAAGTGAGACACAGTCTCAAAAAAAAAAAAAAAAAGGAAGCTCTATGTTGATGCAAGGCAAGAACATATTATGTGGAAGAGTTAGAATTGCAGGCAGAGGAGACACTGAGAGCAATAATCCCTGGAAATAACAGAAATTTCAGGGACAAGTCCAGATCTTCAAAAACTGTGAAATTGATGGAGCCTGAGCAGAGATCTCCAAGGAATCAGGTACTATCTGTTTGCCAGGGTGGGAGGATAGAAAACGGACCAGGTCGACCTGGGGCGGTGGCTCACGCCTGTAATCCCAGCACTTTGGGAGGCCAAGACAGGTGGATCACCTGAGGTCAGGAGTTCGAGACCAGCTTGACCAACATGGAGAAACCCCATCTCTACTGAAAATACAAAATTAGCCGGGCATGGTGTCACATGCCTGTAATCCCAGCTACTTGGGAGACTGAGGCAGGAGAATTGCTCGAACCCGGGAGGTGGAGGTTGTGGTGAGCTGAGATAGCACCATTGCACTCCAGCCTGGGAAACAAGAGTGAAACTCCATCTCAAAAAAAGGAAACAGACCGGGTCTGTCTGACAGGTTGAGTAGGTGGAGTGGGAAGGAGGGATCTAGAAGGCCAGGAGGGTACAGGGAACTGCAGGGGTGGGTGGTGGTGGGTGGGGCTGGCTTCAGCCTCCTCCTCCCACTGCTCACCACAGCCTCAGCAGCCCTTTGTGAGGGAGAGGCTCCAGCTCTGTGATGTGGACCTGAGCCCTTATAACTAGTCCAAAAGGGTATGCCCAGGGCTCAGCTGCCTGAGGGTGCAGTGCAGTTGACATGGATACTCTCTTTCCTCTGGAAAGCATTAGGCTTAGGCAATATAAGAGGTGATTGGACCACATAATCCAAAGAGGGAGCAGCTGTTCACACACAAGAAGGGCAAGGTTGCAGCCAGCCCTCGGCCTCAATGGGAACCACTATCGCTGAATGCTGACCCTGACTCCTGAGCTCCAGCACCATGCTCTGGATGATGCATTTCAACATAATTGTTTTGTGTAGCCTGGTGATCCTGGCCTTCTTATGCTCCTACTTTTTCAGGGAACCATCCTCAATGCCTCCCAGAAAGAGGAACAGTGGGAAGGTAAGGAACCCTCAGCCCACACCCAGCACAGAATGATTCTATTTTTCCTGCTCTTTTCCACTTTCCAAATCAACCAGAGGCACTCCTGTGATGAGAAGTCTCATTATCCCTCTAGGGTCAGCAGGGCAGGCAGGGGTTGGAGTGGGTACAGCATTTCCATCCCAAGCTCCCACACCATCTGTGGGGGTGCACGGGAGGCGTCAGGGCAAAAACAAACCCCGGGACTCAGCGGCAAGGACCCAACCATGAGAGGGGTGAGGTCTCTGGGAGGACAGGCCCTGAGCCCCAGCTCATCAGCCACCTTCCTGGGCAGGTGCCTTGGGACCCAGCCTCTGTGTGGAGTGCTCTGGGGGCTGTGCGGAGCCCCTGAGAGCCTCCCACCTGAGACTGGAGTCGCCTCTGGCCTCCTAGGAAGCAGAATCCTCCCTGCCAGCTCAGAGGCGCCTGCAGGACACAAGTGTGTGTGTTTCCCAAGCAGGAGAACAGGCACTGAGGACGCCCAGGGCAGGTCTCATGCAGAAAACCCCTCTGTGCTGTTCAAAGAAGGAAACCAGAAAATGTTGTTATGCACTTTAGAAACAAGTGAAAGGAAAGAGAAGCACACAGGGCTCTGTGAGCTGAGAAAGTGTGTCATTCACGAGCACTACGGGTCTGCAGCTGTGGGGACAGGAGCCTGAGACCCAGCTGTGCCCTCACTCTTTCTGTCTCTCAGGGTCAAGCTGAAGTGAGGGGCTGGCTCAGGATCAGAAATAAAAAGATCACTTTGAAAGGTAAGGCTCTGAGAGTCCCAGAAGCCCCCAGAGGTGGCAGTTTTACCTGTCCCTAGGAACAAGCACCAAGTCTCCTAGGAATTCATTTGCAGAGGCCTGAGGGGAAGCTCCTGGAAGGACAATTGGAACCTGGGATCTGTCTCCAATTCCCTGCTGGGATGAAGCCAAGAGGGACTCTGTAGGGGAGGGGACCAGTGACCGCCTGGACGTGCAGGAGGGGTTCCAGGTCCATGTGGGTAGCTGTTTAACTCAGCTAGGCTGAGTGCTCTTTGAGACTGCCCCTGTCCTCTCTGCCCAGGAGAGAGTTATGACCCCCATGACAGGGTACGTTAGGAAGCACTTAGTAAATGACAAAGCACTGCCCACCGGGCATCTGGCTATCACTCTTGGGCCACGTGGCCTTTGACACAGATGCTGGTGCTCCAGCATCTAATCCTCTCCCTGGGGTCTCCCCTAAGGGCACTTGCACTCAGCCTCCTGTAAGTCCCAGTTCCTCTCGCCACCGTAAGCCACTCCTGCTTTCCAGCTTGCCAAAGTCTCTTGAAAAAACTGGAGAACGCTAGGAACCACACTCTCCTACTGGAAAAGTGAGGCTCTTTCCCCTTCTCTCTCATGTCCTCCTTCCTACCAGGGCCGGGGGCGGATCTGGGAGGGGGAGGTTACAGCTGGGATGTCACAAAAGCTCTGGGGCAGGTGTAGGCAGAGCTTTGTGAAGTCAGCGTGGGGGCTCTGGAGGGGCATGGGCCATGGGTGCCCAGTGCTCCCGGCTGCAGCCTGTGCCTCCTGTCTGCTGCAGGCGCCTGAGGAAGCTCCCTGGGGACGGCAGCTTCCATTGCCTTCTAAACCAAGACCGCCTGATGGAGTCATTCAAACAAGGTCCACCACGTGGCGTTCACCAGCCACATGGGAGGCATGGGAAAGCTTCTCCCACCAGCTTGTCTCCACAGGCTCCCCTGGCTCCTCTGGCCTCCATGCTATCGCCAGACCCGAAGACCTCCGCAGAGTCCTTTGAGTCCCTGTCATCCCTGAGCACCTTCCAGCCACTGGATCCTTTGTGTCCCCTGAAGCACCCTTCACACCCGACACATGCAGGCACCCTATTACCAAACCCGACCACCTCCATAGAATCCCTGGGGTCTCTGTCATCCCCGAGCTCCTCCCAGCCACCAGAGCCTTTGCATCCCCTGAAGCATCCTTCACACAAGCCACATGGGCGTTCCCCTCCCCGACATCGGAACCCTGGCTGGGTGTCCTGGTCCGACTCCACCCAGGCTGATTCTCAAACTGACGCCACAACATGCCCAATGTGCAATGCCCCTGAGCGCTCCTCTCTACACAGCTGGTGGGTGCCTTTGCCTTCCAGCCCTCGCGTGATCCGAGGCGTTGGTTGCTGCAGTGATCCTGACCTGGACCTCTCCTGGAGCCAGGAGGCTGCTAGAGCCTAGTGCCTCTGCACCTCCTCACAGTGTCCATTCCAGTGCCCTAATCTTCCCACCTGCCTACCAAAGGCTTCCTTCGAGGGAGACCCCACATGCAGGCAGGGGAAGGCAGAGGTCCCACATTCCTCAGCCTGGACGTGCCAAAGCTGCTGGACACACGAGACACCAAAATCCCAGACACCACCCTGAACACCGCACATCCAACATCCACCAACAATTGGGACTCTCCCGAGGACAACTTGGAGGCACGTCCCCTCCCTGGTTTGGACACCCCACTGATACTGGAAGCTCATGTTCTAATGGATTGGGAGAGGACCCTGTGGAGACACTGGCTGCATCTAGGCCAAGAGCGGGCCCATCCTGGTGCACATGATAAAGTGTTCAGGGCAGTTTATTAAAGTTAAAGAGAAAATAAGACCTCTGTGTTAGTTTCCTATGACTACTGTAACAAGCTACCGTAGGCCTGGGGGTTCACAGCAACAGCAACTTACTTCCTCACTGTCCCAGGGGCCAGAAGACAGAAACTGAGGCCTGGAGAAGGCAGGATCATGCTTCCACCTGAGTAACGCCAGAAACATGGCGTTTCCACAAGCCCCAGAAGCCTCAATCCTGAGCCCTCAGGGACTGTCAAGGAAGCAGGAATCCCAGACCCACCCTCCAGTACCATGCAGGCTTTCCCTTGCAGTCAGAGAGCTTCTCAGGGCCAGTCCCGTTTTTAAGACTAGAGCCTCTTCAAGCTCACCAGCACCCTCACCCCCCGCCACACGAGCATGCACCCATTCCAGGATTTTAAACAGTCCAACAAATCTCAGTACTCACCAGAACTATTTCAGTATTGAAGAGCCTGTATCAACTGCATGTGAAGGCCATTCTGTCTGGAATCTTACACTAAATCTGGGGTCTCCATGTTGGGGGTTCTCTCACCAGGGCATAAGGAGCCTTCTTTCTTCAAGGCCACCCAACTCCCTCCAACCTCATTCCCTAGGCGCTCCCTCCTATGACAAGCCCCGGTTTGGCCCTGGCAAAGGACAAGGTCCTCTCCCGATGGCAGAGGGTCATCCTCCCACCCTGAGGCCTCTGCTTTGCCTCAACTTCCTGGTACAAAGCCTGGACTGATCCCAGGACCTGGACTGGTGGGCCCCTCCACCACTTTCAGAAGCAGCCGGGAGCCAGCAAGAGTGGGAGAAACCGCACCACCTCTGTGAGGGCAGGCAGTGGGGTGTCTAGGGGTGGGAGTGCAGCCTCTGGAGCCAGACTGCCTGGGCTATGTCTCTGACCGGCCATGGAACCCTGGGCAGCTAGCCGACCCCTCCCAGCCCCAGTGCCCTCATCTCGTAGCAGCTAACGGGGACACACCTGGGCAGGGTCTTGGTGTCACGTCCATCACTGGGGCAGGTCATCAAAGCACACCATATGGTACATCAGTTATGGGCCATATAGGCCACTTACAGAGGAGGAAGGAGGCTCAGGTGTGAAGGACATGCCCAGGGGACACGCTGCTGAGTGGTCCCATCCCCATCCAGGCCACCCAGCCACAGCCTGTCCCTAGGGACCCCTGGTCCACATCAGTGGAAGCTGGAGGATGAAGGCCTCCTGGGCCTGGAATCTCAGAGCCTGTGCTGATTAATTTCACGGGTCTGCTTGACTGGCTCACAGGGGGCAGATATTTGGTCAAATATTATTCTGGGTGTGCATGAGGGGTTCTAGGTGAGACTAACACTTGAGGCAGTGGACAGCAAAGCAGACAGCCCTCCCAAGTGTGGGTGGCCCCACCTCATCCACCGCAGACCTGAACAGAACACAAAAGCTGTGTAGGAGAGAATTCATTCTGCCTGGCTGCCCTGAGCTGGAGTTTGGTCTTTTCCAGGCTTTGGACTTGAACCAAAGCACTGGCTCTTCGTGGGTGTCGAGCCCCTGGCCTCTAGACCTGGAGAAACTCCATCAGCTCTCCTGGGGCTCTACTTGGCCAGCTGCAGATCTGGGGATTTCTCAGTGCCACGGTCTCATGAAGCAAATCCTTACCATCCATCTCCTTTTATAAACACACATGCATCCTATCGATTCTGTTCCTCTGGAAAACCCTGACTAATGCAGAGCCTGAAAGAGGGGCATGGCCTGAGGCCCCTGCACCCAGGAAGGATCTGCATTTCTTGTGCTTCCAGGCAGAGCCTCTCATGGAGAGCAGGATGGCTGTGCTTCCTTGGCTGGCACTTGGGGTCTGTGGGGTCGGTAGCTGTGGGCTGAGGGAGCTGACCCTGCAGCCTGCACCACTATGGAAAGAGGGCCCCTGGGCTGTGGATCTAACCATTGGGTTGTAAATCTGACTCAGACCCTCCAACAGCTGTGGCCTAGGGCAAACTATGTATGCTCCATGAGCCTCAGTATCCCCCACCACCCACAGAACAGGGCTGTGAGAGCAGTTTCCTTGCAGGGTTTAAAGAACCCAGCACAGTGCCTGACACAGCTCGTATCAGGTGGTGGCTGAAAAGCTGGAATGCAGACAGCTGACCTCCACGAAAGGGCCAGGTTTTTCCCATGCCTGCCTTGAACCTGAAGAGCTCAGAGCCCAGGGCCACATGCCAAGATGTCTCTGGCCCAGAATACCACACCTGTCTAGCATCTGAAAGTCACCTGAAAGTGGGAATCTCAAGGACTCCCAGAGGACAGAGCCCCCTGAGACCCGGGCTCCTCAGGAGACCACCTTGGGCACACCCAGCCCTGCAGGGGTCTCTATGTGGTGTGCCATTAGCACCCTGCAGCCCTTCAGCTACCCTCCCCTGTACCTGCTGCCCACTCAGCAGGGCTCCCCAACCGCAGAGCAGTGCGTATTTCTGCTAAGGAGACCCAGCATTCAGATGGTGATGGAAAGGGCCAGGTAGGGTTGAATCCCTGAGGCCACTGGGTGTGGGTACAGCAGGTGGGGAGGCCAAGCCTGGGTCATGGTGTCCCTCATTGGCATTGCATTTGGGGCAAGGAAGTAAACCCCTAAAGCCTCAGCTTCCCACATGGAGAGCAGCTTCCTGGTGGGCTCATGCCCACCTCCCAGGTCCCCATGGGAGCTGCAGAAGGCAACGGTGCCATCCAGTTGCAAGGATGTGAAAAGACCCCTGGTTTTCAGGGTTTCTCACTCTGCCAGAGGATGCTATTGCCATAAGGCAGGTCTTTTAGACTGGCACTCAGCCCAGCCAGGAAGGGGTGCCTACCTTCAATAGGACCTCAGGTGGTGGGCGCATCCTAGGCCAGCCTCTCCCGGCTGGGCTGTCCCTGGAGTAAAATGAAGTGGGAGCACTGGCCAGCAGATGAGGGCAGAATCTCCTCCTCCTGGCTCCACAAAAGGATGGACCCCTGTAAAGCAAAGACTTCAGGAGGTGGCCGGGCGCAGTGGCTCAACTCTGTAATCCCGGCACTTTGGGAGGCCAAGGCGGGCAGATCATCTGAGGTCAAAAGTTTGAGACCAGCCTTGCCAACATGGTGAAACCCCATCTCTACTAAAAATCAGGCATGGTCGCGTGTGCCTGTAATCCCAGGTACTCTGGTGGCTGAGGCAGAAGTATTGCTTGAACCCGGGAGGCGGAGGTTCCACTGAGCTGAGATTGCACCACTGCACTCCAGCCTGAGTGACAGAGCAAGATGCCACCTCAAAAAGAAGACTCCAGGAGGCGTGGTCCTTGGGAGCTTTCTCCAGCCTCATAGCCCACCTTGCACCCAAGTGACATACAGCTTTCCTTGTGTGAGGGGAGCCCATGGGATTCACTCCCTTTTCCTATTTCCTCTGGAGTGAAGCCTCATGTGTTGGGAGAATGTGGGTTCAGGGACTCTCTGAGTGACCCTGGTAAGCCTCTCTCTCCAGAGTTCAAGGGAGCATCAGGGGAAGGGGAACACACCCAGAGCAGCGCCCACAAGAGTGTTTTAATACAGGTCAGGTACGGACTGCTCTGCGATGGTGGGGGAAGGTGATGAGGGTCCCCTGAGAGGCTCCCTTGGGCACTGGAAAGGTGGGATATGGGGAGCCGCCTCCTGCCTGGACCAGTTAATGCCCAAAGCCATTCCCTTGGGTCCTCACCCCTCCTTCCAGGCAGTGGGGCCATGGGTTTCTAGGGGAATACAGGCCTTTAGGGAGACTGGGAATCTGACTTTGATCTTGCAGCTCCCGAATTTTTCCTGCACATTTGCTGATTAGTTGATGCCTGTCAGGGGCCTCAGGGCCAGTGCTAAGCCCCAGGGTCTTAGGGTAGGAAAGATGATTCCCCAGATTTCCTGCAGGCTTTGAGCATGGTGGAAGAATCAGTGGAGCCTCCAGTGAAACTTGGCAGATTGAGCATTTCATTTATTTTCGCTCTCACAGGATCCTTCCAAAATTATCATTAGTAAATAGAAAATTCTGAAACCTGCAAAGAAAAATACAGCAAAAGAACAACGAATCAGTCAAAGCCTAGGAGGAGAGGCCGTAGAATCACCGACAGCAACACCCTGTGGCACTGAGAGCAGATGGTTTGGTGAGCACCATGCTGGGAGGTGGCCATGGTACAGCCTGTAAGTAGCGCTGTAAACAGTCCAGCCCCAGCAGCACGTGCTGGTGGCCCGCAGTCCCACAGAGGGAATTTGAGGAGAAGCAAAGTGACTGAGCCAGCAGAGCCGGGCCCCGGACCCCCACCCCAGCCTGTGGGAGCTGCAGGTGTGTTCTGGGAACACACTGCTCTATCCCTTCTTTTTTTCTCATTAAATAAACTCTGGTTCTAGAAACAACTTGCCTGCAGCCAGCTGGCTAGACCAGCACATACTGCTGGGGCTGGACTATTTACAGGCCCATTGTGACTATTTACAGCCCTGCTTACAGGTTGTACCATGGCTACCTCCCAGCACAGTGCTCAGCTATATGTCAAAATGAGCTGGCCAGGTGTGGTGGGCCAGGGACAGGGGCTGTACACACGAGTGCTGGGGCCTCGGGGCCTCAATACTGTCCAGGGCCGGGGCTGTAAACACAGCTGGGGTGGCCCCTGTGTCACGGGGAGGAAGCCCACAGGGAAAATGTCATCCTCATCACATCACATCACACCAAGGGTATCTGCTATTAACATGGCTTATCGCCTTTTTTTTTTTTTTTTTTTTTTTTGAGATGGAATCTTGTTCTGTAGCCCAGGCTGGAGTGCAGTGGCGCAATCCTGACTCACAGCAACCTCCACCTCCCAGGTCCTGGTTCGAGTGATTCTCCTACCTCAGTCTCTGAAGTAGCTGGGATTATAGGCATGAGCCACCATGCCCCACTAATTTTTGTATTTTTTAAAAGAAACAAGGTTTCACCATGTTGGCCAGTCTGGTCTTGAACTCCTGACCTCATGATCTGCCCATCTCGGCCTCCCAAGGGATTACAGGCTTGAGCCACTGCACCTGGCCACTTTTTTTTT